ACCGAGGCCTTTCACATAGTCTCACACAACATCACAATAAGCACAACAGCTGGGTTGGGTATCGGCAACCAAGTGCTATCGTCCCCATAGAACCACTCGGAGAGTAGGGATTTCTGCAGGAGAGTCAACGGTGTCTATCCAGCTTGGAGATCATTGCCGGGTATATCACAAGTAGAAGTTCTGGGTCCATTGTTGTTCCTACTGTTCTTGAATGATCTCTCGCCACATATCAGCCCTCCGAATCCCCCTTACGCTGACGACATCAACTTATGGAGAGCATTGACGTGTTTAACGGTCCACGTTTTTCAGCACTCCTGACCCGCAGAGAGTATCCTATTCTTTATGTGGCTTACATCTCTCTCACACCAACGCGTGAAAATAATTAGGTTCTATGTTGAAGCAGAAACTCTATACTGGTTAAAACTACCCAGAAGACGCTTCAAGAGCACACAATGTACCACACTTTGTGCGCAGACAACTAGGTCCCACCACCCCAGAGCTCTTTCTGAAACTCTTTGAGGCGCACATACGGCCCCCCTTGAATGTTTATAACGCCTTCTCTCCATAGCACTTGAAAAGAAGTGTGAACTTCCTGGGAAAGTTTCAGAAATGAATCACAAGGGGTGTCGTGGGGTTGGACCAAAAGCAATGGGAAGACAGACTAAAAGACCCAAGCCAATACTGCCTTAGTTACCGGGTTCGGTATTTCAAGAACACAACACAACCGCATCTCAAGGCGAACCAATCACCACCCAACTACACATTGGGCGTCACAAAGCTGCAACAGACTAGTGGCTGGAGATGCTGCACCAGAACCCATCAAAGATGTGGAGAAATTAATCAAGAGCTGGAAGCGGATAGGAAGGGGTAGACTGGCTCACAGAAGCTCGTTGAAAGGATACTGAAACTAGGCGTATAATTTGAGGATAAAAACCGAGGGAATAGTTGGGCGGATTATGGCATCTTCCCAGCCTTTTGGGATACGGACGTATTGAAAAGATAGGTAACTGGCCCATCAACAACGTCCTGTAATAAAGATAGCAGTCTGCAGTGTGACTCACTAGGACACAGGGATTTTCCCAGTTTTGGATCAATGAGCGCCAGCAAGACTGTTTACCTTCTTATGAACACTGAATCCATCGGTGAGGCAGTCCTGGCACTACTGAGCACTTCATCATCATGATCAACAGTGAAAAATTCACTAAACCAACTCGGTAGACATTCAGCTTTGGTCAGATCAAGTTCCATCGGACCACCAGGCTTTTCATCCATCACCAGGAAAGGGATTTCTCATCTTCTCATAGTTTGTTTTCTCATGAATTTGAACAGTCAGCTGGGATAGCCTGACAATCACTTCCAAGTCGCTTCTCATAGGACATTCGAGGCTGTATAATCAAACTCTTTCGGGGATTATCGACTTCATGGTACCAAGTTTTAAATGTTTCCAGTTTAGTTTCCACACACAAGTACTGTGAACGTTCCCTCCGCCCTAATAGTTTCTGAGTGTCTTTAATAAATCACGAAGCGCTATATGAGGGTCTTAACAGAGTAAACTATGAGATAACTGGCGTCGTTACTTCTTCAAAGAGAGTTCTAAACTTATACTATGGCTTGTTGATTGTTCCAACCCTTGCCGTTGGCGCGCTCCTTGAGTAGTGACGTGTTTCGCTCGTCTCTCAGCTTTTGGATTTTTCCACAATGAAAAACTCCCACTTGCAATACTCAATCTAAAAACATCGAACGTTTGCAGCACTTCTGTCCGTCCACGCACCTCACCCCTGCGCATTCGTCAGCTCACTCCTCAACAGTTGAAAATTGGCATTATTATTCCTTTGAACCAACCGGTCTACCTCCTGTCAGTGGTTCTTGGGCGTTTCAGCTGCCAAACTGCCTTAGCTCTCGGTTCTCCTCGGAGGTCATTCCCCAGGAAATATCTTTCCTGGTTATACATACGCATCTGGAGCTTACGGTTAAACTCGTTGGTCAAGAGCAGAGGATCAAGTGACAAGTGTCTGAAGGTGAGCCAACATAAATTATCTTCCCTTTTCTATTCTGTCCTTTTGCTGCATTCAGTCTTCAACCCTCTTATTGTTGTTAACTACTTGTTTTCCCAAGAAGTTTATATCATAGCGACATGTCTGCCCAAAACGCTAGGTCTGAAGCTTTGACACGGATAACGCGGTCGTGCACAAAAACGGCCAGTAACACCCTAAACAACACACTAGTCTGTACTAGAAGACAAACAGAGGTAGGGCAGAACACCGAACTTCTAAAGAAGTGGCCAACCCATGTTTCTAGAATTCCAGTCGCCATCAGACAGGTGACACAGAGTAGCACTAGCCCGTCACAAACTAGTCCTATCTTGAGCAAGGATCATACCATGCCTGAAATAGAAGACGACGTAAAAGGCTTCAGAACAAGGCAGCCACAAGCAGTTCGCCACAATCCGTAGCACCTTATTCATGGAAGGAAGGCTGTATTACGACACCCGATGGCTGCAGTGTTTGCACCAAAGTTGTTTCGGTAGTCGATGAGGCATTTGCATGCAACCTGTGTCAACGATGGGTGCATTGCCACTGCGATACCAAAGTCCCCCGACAATACTATAAGCTGATGAAGAGACAACCATGCAAGTGGTTCTGGTACATCTGTCCAGAGTGCAGGAAAATGCCCGCACTCCGCACAGAAAGCCTGAAGGAGATGCTCTCCGCCACGCAAAAGCTACCAGCATCCTCGAATAAGTAGGGTTAACACCAAAGGATAACACAGAGAGACCTGGAAACAGACCTAGAGCTCCAGCTGTGGGCACGCCACCTCGCGTGGGGACCATATTAGGTCAAGTCTCCATACCCCCTACCCGGCCCCAGGGGACGTCAAGCGCATGGCCAAAGACATCGACCGCCGAAGCCTCTACGAAACCCATTCCGAACACCCCACACACCGTGACTGAGAAACAACCAGTGGAATTACTCAAACCCATTGGGAAGTCGGGCGTGCCACCCACAACGAACCCAGGTCACAGGAGGACCAACTCGATCATTTTGTTCAACGTCGATGTATCGACAGACTCATTGTTGGTCGAGAGGGAACAATTTGACAGCCGAATGTGGACCGACTACTGTCAGATGCTGGGACTCCCTCCCCTCCCTGCAACTTTGTGTCGCCTTTCTCGAGGAAGCCATGCACCCCGAGATAAGCCACCCCCTTTACGTGTGTCCCTAAATACCGCCAAAGAGGCTGAAGACACCCTCCTCTCGCGACAACCGGACGTTGTTAATGCCTGTAAAATTCGGGCCAGGCCTGACAAGCCATGGTCAATAAGAGAGGAGGAGAGAAAGTCAGCGGTTGGAAATCCCAACAGAAACAACACTATAGTTGTACATGGGATTCCAGAATTGCCAAGTGACAGCTCGGTCAAAGATCGGTACTTTCACGACGTCCAACAATGGCAATGGCTCTCAACCAAAGTTGGTCTCAACAGTATACCGGCCAACAGCGTCAGTAGACTGCCAAGGCCAGCGCACCTGAAGACCATACCCAATCCCAGACTACTTGCCGTCCAGTTCGACTCATATGCCTCCCTCACAGACGTTCTACGCGCATGGTATAATGCGAAAGATCGCATGGGTGGCTCAATACGTATATGTGAAAGTAAGCCTAGACCCACAAGGCAAGAGGAGAGACGGCAACCACCAAGACCTCTGGAGTCAGTGGTCGTCACACAGGCGCTGACCAGTGAGTTAGATACATCAAGTAAAGAAGCCACCACTGCTACAGCCCCCACCCAAGTTAAGAACAAAACACAAAAAACGGAACAATGCCAGTCCTATGAGGACTGGCGAGGCTAAATCAACCACGTAAGCGCTCATCCCGCGAAAATACACATCCAGACCTCCCCTCTCATCAGGCACACTCTAATATGTATGTACAGCAACGTTAGGGGGCTAAGAGGGAAGGTAGCAAAATGAGGACGCTGCGTGAACATCAGCACTCGACATCATATTCATCACCGAATCCTGGCTCTCATCGGACATCTCCGACGAAGAGATGCGTGTTGCTGGCATGGAACTCTTCCGCAGGGACAGGGAACATAGAGCAGGAGGGGGAGTGGCTATCTACGTAAACTCCTGTTTAAAGGCAAGGATGGTTAGCGATACGGCCTTAACCCAGCTCCCAGAGTCTCTATGGTGCTACTTCACTCTCTTCTTTATTCTCTCTTCATTCCTTTACCACTACCTTACTATTCTCTTCAGGTACCTACACAGACAGGAGTCATGGCAGTTCTCTAAACTTCCCAGCAACCCGTAGCTCCCTAATCACTCTACAAATTACAACCTACTAACCCACAAAACATCCACCTCACCGAAGCTAAAAGCAAGAAAGCAGAGGGGATTTCCTCGTCCACTGCAGGAGTAAACCGAACAACTGGAACCAAGCCCTAAGAACTAGACGCGAGAGATCAAAAACTACCAGTTTTCTACGCTCGCACTATCAATATTGGATATTGGATATTGGAACTTCTTCGTTATGGTATTTAGAAGTGTTCTTGCTTTTCAAGCAAGGCGTGAGTATCTGAGCGGCAAAACATGCGAATGAAGACACCTCTCGGGTTACTACATTTTTACATGCTGAGGGCTTGGACTTGTGCAGTTTTCGTGGAACCAACTCTTACATTGGGAAAACTGAATACTAGAGGCCACTGTGAAGTCATAATAAGCCCTGTCAATACAAGGATCAAGTCTCAAGATTTGAACACAGAAGGCTGAAATCTGTCAGTCTGCTACAGTGATCCTTTTGTTCTTGGAAGTTGGCCGTTGTTTAACTACTCTACGGCTTTCGTTTACGTGTGATCGTGTTGCTTCCGGGATGTGGTGGAATTACGTCAGCACGCATATTGGAAAATCTAGAATTGCTGGAGGGACTAACTTGTATGTGAGCAATTTCATAGTTTCCATTAGTTATTTAGGCCTTTCCCCGAAGATACGGAGAAAGTTACAAGGATGTATGGAATCAAAAAGGTAAGGGTTGTTAAGTGTGCACCGAAACGTTTCGGAACATTTTTGCTGATGGTGAAAAATCCTCGTTAAATGACATTAAAAAAGCTGCACTTTTTCCACTAGCCTTCAAAACCGATGCTTAGTTTATTACAATTCCTTGTCATATACTAAAAAATACTTGAAATTTCCAAGATAGCTGTTATGTTAGTAACTTATCAAAGGACGCTTAGTCTCTGCTTAAGATGCTTCAAATTCAGATTTGTTGTCTGATGACAGGAGGCTGGGAACCCATATTAATCCTTTTCCAGTAAATTTCTGTGCTTGTTCAATTACCTTTCGAACAAGTAAAGTGATGATGCGGACACCACTTCTGGGAGTCGGTCCCAGGAGTTGATTACTCGAAGACAGAACTAGTACTCTAAGGAGACTATGTTCGTTCTTTGTTTTCGGAGCTTCTTACTATGTCCTATGAGGTGATCCGACCTAGTGCGAAGGAAAATAAGAGATAGATCAGGTCCGAAGTCATTTCTTAGAATCCTGTATGGCATGATTAGATCTCCCCTCTGTCTGCGATAGGACAAAGTGAAGGGGTTCAGCTCCTTAAGTTGGTCTTCATAGATGAGGCCAGCCATCGCAGGGATCATATGAGTGGCTGTCCTTTGAACTCTTTCTAGAAGGTCTGCGTCACCTTTCAGACAAGGATTAACCACCTCTGTACAGTTTTCTAATTTAGACCTAACTAAAGATGTGTATAAAATGGTGGACATGTCACCGCTTATTTTCGCAAACGTTCTGCGTAATGCTTAGAGAGTCCTGCGACTCCGAGCTGCTACCAATTGACAGTGAGCCGTGGTTTTCAAGTCATAACCCACAGTCACTCCTAGGTCATTGTGGGTCAGTATCGACGGTAGAGGAGTCCTATCAATATCGTAGGTGTTGCTGTGTGTGTGCCCCAAGTGCATGCTCCCACATTTACCTGCATTGATAGGCATCAACTACTTCCCTGACCAGGTAAACAAGCTTTCCAGGTCTGCCTGAAGCGCACGTGTATCCTTGTCGTTCCTAATTTCCCGCCAGATTTTTACATCATCAGCGTAGAGAACTATAGGGGATTTCGTGATATTTAGCAGCTCATTAACGTATAGAATAAACAACAGGGGGCCCATGACTGTGCCTTGCGGTACTCTACTCTCCACCGACTTCCAAAAGGAGAGTTGAGAATTTATCCTTACTCTTTGTCTCCTACCAATAAGGAACTCTCTTGTCCACGCAAGCAGACTGCCAGTGATGCCAGAACTTTCCGGTTTCCCGAGCAATTCGAAATGATGTATCTTGTCGAACGCCTTACTAAATTCCATGAAAATGACATCTACAGGTATCCTGTCATCTTCAGACTTAACCCAACTTTCTCTAACTCTGAGGAGGTCCGTCAAGCAAGAAACATTTCTGCGAAAGCCATGCTGCGAACGAGACAATGGAGTGTTGCTCTCTAAGTGAACTGTGGTGGCTTTCTTGACTATTTCTAGTATTTTTATCACAGTACTAGTCAAACCTATTGGCCTGAATTTGATGGCTGCTGCCTAGAACCTGCCTTGTGGATAAGTGTTACTACAGCATCCCTCAAGTGATAGGGGACTATGTCTTCACCTAGGGACAGTCTGAATAGAGTAGTCATTGGGCCGACCACGTAGAGTGCAAGCTCTCTGAGCAGCCGTAAGTGCAGCTCATCCGTTCCCGTTAATTTTCTCACATCAAGGGTGTTTAATGTCCGAAACACACCATTGTAATCGATATCCACAGAGTTTATTTTTTCGGATGTCGATGCTTCTACTGTTGAGTAAGTGTCCAAAAGAGATTCCTGTATAAAGGCCTAAGCAACATATCCCATAATTGGTTCTGCTTTTTACCTATCGTTTGCAGTCACGTCACTTTCTGTCCGTTTGATTAGGGTGGATATATCACAATACATTCTATTTCTGTAGTTCATATAAGAAAACAACCTCTTTGGATGTTGCAGTGCAACCTGGGAAAGACGTGTTTCAAAGCATATTCGAGACCGGTGGTTAGCAGCAATACATTTATTTCGGGCTTCTTTGTATTGCTTCATCACCTCGGGAGTGCCGAGTTGGGTGGCAAGACCTTTTCTTACGACGCAGCGACATTCGGATTTCATGGTGTATCCATGGAGGACAATATTTTCGTCCCGTTGGAACAGCCTACAAAATGAACGGTTGAGTTACTTGTGCCTATAACTGTTCGAAGGAGCACCATGCAGCTTCTACTGAGGCTTCTAAATTGACTGTCTAGTCACCGGAATAGACTGCCAAGTTAATAGCTTCCATACCCGCTTTCCGTATATTGAGTCTAGCTGGGACATCTGCCTGGTACAAGGCGGCTACTCTGAATCTGAAGATAATCACATCATAATCACTTTCACCAAGGAGTGTTAGGTGCTGGATGAAGCATACATCATCTTTTTATGAGAATACGTAGTCAAGAACTGATGGAGCATGCTGATAATCATATCTGGTTGTTGTGTTGTATAAGGGCCAAGAAAATTGATGTTTCCACCAACCTGTGATCAAATGAATTGTTTGATAATTCTGGTGTTGGTCTATCCCAGTCAACTGATGGTGCATTGAGGTCTCCTACAACTAGGCATTAGCATTTATCTGTCCAGAGGGTCAGCTTACCCAGCAGGAAGTCTGCCGCCTCACATTCAGGGCTTCGATATATTATGATCACGTTAACATCTTGCCCCTTGCATTTTAGTCGGCATCGCAGCATTTCACATGTCCCACTTTCATGTGCAACTGTTTCAGTCGCTTTTACAGTTAAGGTATTCTTAACGTAAAGAATGACACCACTTTTGCATGATAACTAGTCACTTCTAAAAAGGACGAATCCTCGTGTGTTTCGCAGTCACTGACCCTAGAAGAGAGCCCAGTTTCTGAGATAGCAATGATGTCAGGACTTTCTATCCTTGTCACATTAGTAAGCTGAGTCCACTTGTTTAAGAGACTACGTACATTTGTATGCAAGACGATAAAACTACTTAAATAAGTTTCTGTCCTGCCCATAGAGTCTTCGTCATCATTTGGTGCCGAAACCTCACTACACGAAAAGCCACTACTTTTAGATCTTGCTCTCCAGCTGCTATTCTGGATTTTAGTTCTGCTTTTGCTTCTCGTTTTTTTATTCAAATATGAGCCAAATACTTCGCACGAACACTCCAGATCCTTAAAGTCTATGTACGATCTTCAGAATCTGATCTCTCTCATCTACTGACTTGAATACAACTCTAAGTAACCGAAACTTGTTTTCAATAGAGACTGTCTCCTTTTCCCCTACTCTGTATATCTTGATTAAGGTAATTCCTGGTATTTTTTACGGTAAAATCTGGTTTATCAAACTTTGTCCCTTGCCAAGATCATGTTCGAAACGTGTACGTGGTTCTGGGTCTATTTTCTTTCACTCTGTCGGGTATGCAAGGCTTACTAAAGCCTAGTCTAGTGACCTTGACGCTGACAGCCTCAAAACGGATTTGCATCCCGTTCTGTGTAGTCTTCATCACTGACTGGGTCGCTGAACCGGTTATGACCTACGGCTTGCATCGTCCCGTGGTTGGAACTTCACGTGCTTCGTTCCTGTTTCTTTCATTTAAGCCAGACCCAGTTTTACGGTTGGTAGTTTGCAGACTGGGTCTGCCAGCTCTGGGTACGCGAGAATCTGAAGATACCCACTTCACTCTGCTTGGTGTAGTTTTTTACTAAGTCCCTGTCAGCAAACCAAGTAGGTAGTCTACGCTCCCGACTTACAGCTTGTCGTGGGACATTCTTAAAATTTTTCACATAGATGTGTCAATGGATGCTGTGTCGTTATCACTATCATAGTTATCAACTTTCCCTTTGAACGCTAGTTTCTTCGTTATCGTGATTAGAAGTGTTTTAACTTCTATCAGTGTAAATATCCGAGCACCACAACATACAAAACCAGCCTCTCTGCTTTATTTTACCTCTTATTTGCTGAGGGTTTGAGGCTTCGAAAAATAATCCTGAACTGCGAAATGTGGGCAAGGCTTTTCAAAATACAGGCGTTGTTTTCTTCGTTCTATTTCCACATTTATGCTTTGATACTTCAAAACCGTTTGGCGTGGAATTTTTCTTGTGTCGTTAACTGTAAATATATGTGCACTGATTTCCAAACGTCTATGAGGCTTTCCTAAAATTTCTTCGAAAACTACTTATCTATCTCAAACCTGCTTGCATGTGTTGTATCTTGATTATCAGATTTCTTGTTTGAGAATAGAAAGTTATGAGCCTAAATTAATCCTTTGCTACTAGGTCTCTGTTCTGGTTTAGTCATCTTTTGAACGAATCAGTTGACGACATAGAAACCACTTCTTCAGATTCACATTTGTTGTTTGAGGATAGAAGGCTGTGAGCCTATATTATTCCTTTTCTAGTTGATCTCTGTGCCTGTCCAATCCTCTTCTGGACAAGTCACTTGATTATGCAGACACCACTTCTGACAGTCTGTCATCATCATCCATCAACATAGGACCAGGCATTACTGCGTAACGGTCTGAGTTGCCACAGCTCATATTAGTACATCAAGTGAAAAGGCAGTGAAGTGGAAGATGACGAAAAGAAAATTCAGTCAAAAGAAATATAAAGTACTAAAGAAGAGAAAGGAAGAATGGGAAAATGGAGAAATTCGGTATAGCTTTAAGATGAGGATAATGTGTGTATACATCTGCATCACTGACATCGGTTCTGAGCCGCATCCCCTAGAGTCTCCAGCCACTGGTTCCTCTTGTCCCACAGACCCTACATGGCTCAAACCAACAGTCAAAGACTTCATACATTGATGCCATGTTTTAGTTTGGCCACCTCGAGCCTTTTTCGGCCTGAACCTACTCCCCCTAACATCGTGTGACGAGGCGGACGGCGACTAGGCATATGTAACACGTGTCCCAACCATCTCCCTGGCAGTCTGTTCAAGGAATTGATCATTCGACGCAAAAACAAGCACACTGTGATGACTATGTTCGTCCTTTGCTTTTATATTCTCCTGCTACGTCCTCTGAGGTGTGCCGACCTATTGGGGAGGAAAAGAGAAATCAGATCTGGTCCGAAGTTATTTCTTAAGATACTATGTAGCACTGTTGGGTCTCCTTTCCGTCTGCGATACGATTAAATGTAGGTGTTCAGCTGCCTAGGTTGTTTTTCGTTGCCCAGGCTAGCCGTCGCAGGAATCAGATGAGTGGCTGCCCTCTGAACTCTTTCTAGAAGGTCTGAGTCACCCTTAAGACAAAGATTTGCCGCCTGTCTACAGTTTTGTAATTTAAACCTACCTAAGGATCTGTATAAAAATGGGAAATAAGTTGATGCATAAAATATCATTTTCGGTTACGTTATTTCACAAATTCAGAATTGTTTGACCTGTAATAATAGCCAACTCTTAAATTTGTATGCCTTAATACATAGAAGTTGTATGCTAATTAGTTTCTTTCATTTTTAGCGACTAAAAAGGTTTGCAAAGCCTGTTTGTCTAGTGCCTTTATCTGTCCGTTTTCGTAATAGGAGTACCCCCAAATGTCTATTTTTTTCAGGTGACTTTCTCGCGTAACTACTCTTGTTGTCAATAGGGTTGATTTTAAACTATGATCTTGTTATTTGGTGTTAAGTCTAAGCGCCCAAGATTCGAAAATATCAAACTTTCATTTTCAGCCATTTACAGCCACACACCGACTGATTCGCTACTTTATTTTCAGTGGAATTGCTAACCTGTTATTTTGACAGTTCGTGTGTTGAAAGATAGCCACATTTTTGTAGTGTAATCTGAGCTTTTCAAGATAATATAGTTGTCTAGTTTTAGTTTTAGCTTGTGTAGGTGTTTTTGTATAGAAATGATATCATTTTAGAGACTCATGTTAATAAAGGATGCCAAACACTTCATCATATTGTTGGATCATATTGCTGAACTATTTTAACTTTGTTCCCGATGGTTGTCTGAAAGAGTTGAATGCTTATAATGATCCCTTGTTTTCAGGGAATCACTAAGGTACAGGGCTTACAGACCATTATATATCATCCTACTGTTAACCATTGGGTCACCGGTTCAGGTCCCGATCCCACCTACCGAGGTTTGGGCAGCCGGCTATTATCACTAGCCCTCACATAATAGGTGCCATAGCTCATTGTCTACTGCATGAATGTGCACAAGGTGTCTGAGTGCGTTTCATCTTGTTCGTTAGCATGAGTTTTGCTTGTGTTTTTGTTGATACAGGTTAGTCAGATCTCGTGTAGGGATCCATTCAATGAATTTCGCGCAAGTTTTTGTGATAAGTGTTGATACTAACTATTCATCCACCTGACAGTATATGGAAAAGAATTCGAAGCTATAGTGTAATGTGATAACTGCTGTGTTCGAGGCAATCAACCTTAAATTCCCTTGTTCATTAGAACTATGAGGGAAACAGAAGAAATCAGTTTAAGCTCAACCGTTCCCAGAAAGAGTGGATTATTTATTTGTAGTCAATCTTTTGCCAGAATTTTTCAGTGTATAAGTGCTCAGATATTGCAAACATATTTTTCAGTAGGAAAGGGCTGTGCAGTATGCAAAATCATTTCTGCCTGTAAGACAAACACTAAGACTGGTTTGCTTGGTGATGGCTTGTAGTAGAATCCGCGACTCACTTTTTGTCCTCTTCCTGGATTTCACCACGAGCTACCATTAAGTAAATTGTAAAAATGATTCACAGTTTGTCTTTGTTTATTTATTAGTCAGCCTGGAGTTCAAGGTAATATTGTAGTGGGCGTTGCTGATAAGAATGGATATAAGTAGTATATGGTGAGGGCGTGGCAGAAATAGGGAATTACCAGCGGTGGTAAAGATTCTGCCAAGAGAAACGCCTGCGTATTACGAGCAAATCAAGACAGAAGCAGAAGAGGACATGAAGCACATTATGCAGATGACTGTCTTAGTGCAAGATGTACCATATTTAACGACTACTGGACCACTTGTTAACAGTAAACATTCTTTCCTTTCAATTGTTGACGCTACTTCTGGACGTGATGAAGATTCCGTGTCCTGCGGTGTTCTAGGATGGAGACATCAAGGTCTTCCTCAGGGACTTCGAGTCCACAGTCTCACAGTTGGTGGGTGTCCGGGATCCAGGAGCGAAGGTTGCAGTACTTGACACATTGCTGAGGGGTAGGGCGAAACAAGTACATATGATGGCGTGGAACGTGTGGATGGGAAGGAGACTTGGAAGAGAATGGTTGAACGACTAGAGGCGGAGTTTGATAGCTCAGCGGACAGGGAGCTGACGATGCAGCAGGTCTTTCCGGAGCACTAAGCTTGGAATAGGCAAAGACTTGCTGGTATTGGCTATGAAGCTGACTAAACTACCTCGACGAGCACTTCTCACTTTGAATGAGGACTCCCAGGTGCAGTTGCTGGCTGCACAGTTCACCAAAAGTGTCCTGAATGTCATCGCCCATCAGCTACGACTAGTGAACGCAACCCGATCCATGAATATTAGTGGGATGGCCAAAGTGACCACACAACTAATAGTTACAGCAGTAGTTGCGATGGAGTCACCAGACCTAAATAACTGGTGAAAACAAGTCGATAACATTCAGGAGGAGGTGGCTGTACTTGGAATGAATATCAACAGACAGAGTAAATGCTTTGCGTGCGGGAAACTGGGCCTTGGCGAAGAAACTGTCTGTAGAGGCGAAAAAGAAACAGTTTTGAACAATATGATATGAGTTCTGTTTTTTCAAAAAAAAACTAGATCTTGTAGAAGCCATAGATGTGAGTACTGTTTATGCTAGAATGAGAATAAATGATCGGAAGATTGTGCGTCGTGTGTGTACGGGGGGGAGTCTAGCTGATAGAAAAGAGTCAGTCTCAGAACATAAGACCATGTGCGTTAACGGTCCACACGGTTAAGGACACGCATTAGAAATCGCTGGCTTATCAAACTGCGTCAGCAAGATCGAAAATTATATTTCTATTCATCGGCACCACGCGTCTACAACCGACAATCCTAGGTGCTGATTTTTTGAGAGAAGTGGGTACAGTTGTTAATACGAAAACAGGAATATTGGCGACAAGGTACGAGTCGTTCACGTAGGAAAGCAGCGAGGTAGCAGAGGTTGAGGTATCAAATGCACCACATCCAGAATCGCCAAACATCATGAAGTTGTTTGAGAAATACGACAGATTATTCACGCGAGACGGAGATCCCTACAGATATTGTGACAAGGTTCAACATGAAATCTCAGTGACAAGTCAAGGAATGACAACGTTTATGCAACGGTAAATACCATGTCACTTAGAGAAAGAAGTTAGGCACTATGTTCAAGAAATGCTGGTTGAAGGGATTATTGAAGAGGCTGATAGGCCATTTAGATCTCTAGCGCTATTAGTAAGAAAGTCTAATAGGAAATCTAGATTCTGTGTTGATTTCCGAGAGTTAAATGGCATAACGCAAATGCAGCTGTGTGCCATGCCGACGGTAGCTGAAACACTGGATCGTCTGCAGAATGCGAAAGTACTTACAGTTCTAGACCTCCGCTCAGGCTACTGGCAGATACCAATAAAATAAAGCGATAGAGAGAAGACAGCATTTATTGTGAGCAAGAAGTAGTACCCTTTCAAGCGAATGCCATTCGGTCTTGCAGGTGTTCCACTAACATTTAGACGGTTGATGATGTTCTAATGGGTTGTGGCTAGCAGTGGAATCCATGATGCGCATTTCGTCCTATTTGGGACTCGTCAGCTGGATGTACCTGCTTCCGAGTGAGTGATGTTGTTCCCAAGCAACGACGGTATCATATAAAAACGATTATACTAGGTTGATGATGTTGTTGTTGAAGAATTTAGAGAACGTTGATGTGTATGGTGACGACGTGGTGCTGTACCGTTAGACGGGAGCAAAACATCTAGAACACATGGAAGCTGTCTTAAGACGCATTGATGAGTTTGGACTTCGCATCAATAAGACAAAGTCTCAGGTAGCCACTACTGGGATATAAAGTTGGGAACGGTGAAATAAAACATCTGAGAAAATTATGGCAGCTAAATGCATTCCAGTGCCGAATTCCAGGAGGAAACTGTGACAGTTCCTGGATAGAGCAGCATTGTACAGTCGGTTCCTCAAAAATTTCAGTGAGATGGCGACATCCCTATACAAGCTACTTGGTAAACCCAAATTTACGTGCACAGACGAGGCACAGAAACGTTTGATCACATCAAGGAACACCTACTACCAATACCCAAGAGATCATCGTGTCAACCGATGCAAGTGATTGTGGAATAGGCGCAGTTCTGATACAGACTGATGGAGTAGCGGAGTACACCAGCCATGTCTTGACACATGCAGAACAGAAATGAAATAGCTAGTGGTTGTTTATATAGGTTTGACTCTCTAAAGAAACGATTTCCACGAAGTCGAGAAACGTCAGAAATTTATTTTTCCACTTCATTGGGATTTTTCAAAATATATCTCATTTATAATCCAGTTGCCCAACGCTCGACTTTTTCAACTCTATCAGGTCAAATTTTGATCCTGAATTTTACAAATTACTAATGCTAAGAAACCACTAGAAACCGTAGATTGTGTGGCAGCCTTTTCATTCCAGTTTGAAAATCTCTGGATATAAACGATATTGGTTTTGTATGCATTCAAGCCGTCATATTTATGACTTATTTTAATATACTATAACAACTATCTTGAAGTTACTTATCCCTCTACAAACCATTATCGAGAGCTACTCATCTTTACAAAAGAAAGTAGTTAAGAGGATAGTCGAAAATGAAGTATCGTATGGTATTATTTTGGAAAAATAACAAAATGTATCTTTCAGCCATTTTGCCTTTCTTATGTTTCATGTTTTCTCTTCCAAACGATGTCTGGAATATATTTATTATTTCTGTTTCCTAGCCCAAAGTTTCTGGCCCAAAGAGTTCAGGTGAAGCTACGCAATTAATGCGGCGTAATCACAGAAAACGCTCACCAACAACTATACCACCATCAATATGTAAATCAAAAGTAACAAATCCTTAAATAAGTGTTTATCTTCTAAAAAGAAGAAGCTTATGAAAAAACCTTCATTATCTTCAGAAAGCGAAAGTGACAGCGTGAGTAGTGGTGATGAATGGGTGCCGGAATCGCTAAAACGCCATGCTCGAAGTGGTCCAAATCATGAAGCATTCTCTAAAGGAATAACAGCTGTAAAACCAGATGGTTGTGAATACCGTGTCAAAAACTATGGAATGACGGAGGTTACACGTTTTAAAGGTTTCCCCAAAATAAAAGCTGACCGATTTACAGGAAGCCGATATCCTAAACGAGAGAAAGAAAAGCCAAACTATGCTGTAGGCACGCTAAATTTGGAAGATGACAGATTTCTCTGTAAGTCGTTTACAGTTTCAGTAAACTTTAAAGGATGTCCATCAAGAATTAATGTTTTAGACTGAAGAGAAACTGGAAAATGTTACATGTTAAAAGCATGAAGGGAAAAAGAAAATTTCAAATTATCAAACTTCTGACAATAAATTAGTTGATTATTTGTATATTGTATCATACTTGTTACTAAAACTGAGTGATTAAGTTACCTATAGTTTACCTTAAAAATATGACAGGAATTAGAGACAGTGTAACATAATTAGAAAATGATAATAATAGTAGCACAAAAAGCTTTTAAGATGATCAAAGGAAATAATTTTTCGTATAGGCAAATTATACGGGTGACCAAAGCGAAAAAGAAGATTGTACCAGGTTTTCTGAATGCATAGGCTTCACCCGTTCTTGTATATAAAACATGAGCTCATATAGTAAGAAGACTGAGTAGAAAATGACAAATAATGTCAATTAGGTGTCCATTGCCGACAGGTTATGAGAATTCGATGCTCCGTATTGATCTTATCTATCCTTTACTCAACCATGACGGATAATTTTAGAACTTACAACTATTCAGTGTTATGAAAGCTATCAGATATGTAACACACTTAAATTTTGTTTTTACCATGTAATTATGTGTCCGTCAATCGCTATCTCGATTTCCTTAGACTTCTGTACCGTTGCACTTTCTAGACTCTGATTCCTTCCACTTTCTTGTTAGACTCAGCATAAAATTAATGTTTCAGAAAACCTAATGATAGTTTAATCTTTTCTGTACCTTGTAAATAGAAACAGAACTAGGTCAAAATATGATCTTACTGAGATTGCATACTCATAAACTAGCGGGAAAATATCAATCAAATTTTCCTTATCAAAGAATACTCTAGAGAAATCTAGAGTAAACGAATGTGATTTGAATAACTATATTCTAATGAATCACACCTCACAAGTCTAAGATGTTTTTGCAAAAGTAATTTTAAAGTACTTTTTGTTGCCCATTTTGTCAGTAATTCAACATTCGCTTTCTGTACTTACCATTCCGAATTGACATTCAGTTAACTGTATGTGTTAATACTTTCCTAGCCTAAATATCTTACTTAAGTATTTGTAATCTGTTGTGAGTTATAGTTTACCAAATCATATACATATTGAAAACTTTTAAGCTGTAAGTTTTCTGATGTTATCGCTTTATAGTTTAAAACATTTTTGGCAGTTAATTAACCACTGTGTGTTTCCGTAACCTTCAAAATTGCATTGATGCCTCTAGTTACTACTGTAGAGAACCCCTGCAAACCTGAAACCTATTGCCAAGTCTACTAAAGTTTTTTTATTTTTCAACACCTTCCTTAAAAAGAAATACCAGATTAGTCGTAAGTTTTCCAAAAATTTAACCCAAAAATAGAATGAAACTTTTCAAAATATTTTTTTCTCTGCGTTTCTAACAATTAAACGTTCATATCATCCAGATTGTTACACTTGCAAGCGTCCTGTCCTCGATGGCTGCTTTAAGCATCCTATCAACTGGATGGAAAACATTCCGTTAAATGTTTGTCAGGAAGTCAAGGAGAAGTTTGCATACTGTCAAACTTCAAAATGTGTTTGTGGAGAACCGTTTTACATGCACGCAGCTAAAACTGCTCCAAAGGAATGGATCATAATTGGCAGATCTCGAATTCTTGGAGGAGGTTTCGGTGCGTTTGCGAACGCCGATATAAAGTGTGGATGGATGTTTGGTCCTTACATTGGGCAGATCGCATATATACATGAAATGAGTGATGAAGAACATACCAAAGTAAGACCCAAAATTCGCTTTACTTTTATCTTACTTCCTGTAAATTTATCCTTCGTTACACAAATTCAGATAGTAACCTTACTGTATTTGTAAAGTATTTAATCTGATAATAAGTTGCATTCTACTTTTTAATAATTTCAGAGGTCCCGAGGTGGATATGCTTGGCTTGTCAGAGCCAATATTGATGGGATCAAAGCTCACTTGGTAGATGCCCGAAATGCTTTAAATTCAAATTGGTTAAGAGTAAGCTTAACATTTATTTTGGCTGAGTTCTATGCTCTTCCTATTAAAAGCATAGTTTCTTTTTCTGCAGCTGTTACTTATGTTCTGTCACCATAGTCCAGACCAAAACGGGTAGCTTTATCTCACATGCTTCGAATGGACACTTATCATTATATATTTCACCATTGTGACTTAAATTTTCTTGAAGTCTTAAACAGATTCTCTGTATAAGTAGAAAGTTTTTCTTTATTTCATAATGTAGTTAGTTTTCAGTAATGAACTGACTACACAAACGCTTATAAAACCCAAGAAGGCCTTTAGACTACAAATTGAAGAATATACCTATTTCATATTCGCTTCGCGTTACCTAAGCTGAATGGTATTTGTGAAGCTTTAAGTGTCATATTATTTCATATTATAAGCAGAAACATGAGAAAAACTAGGTTTTCTCATCTCTGCACACATGACAGAGTATCATGCGTAAATTACCTTCCTTATCACTGGATGCTAAGGCAGCTGCTGGAAATGATTCATTTTCTCTTTTGACTGATGATTGTCGCCATTTTATGTCCTACCGATAACTGCTATCTTAACGTGGTGGTCCGCCTTGCATATCACAATGACCCAACGAGCTATGCTGGTGGAACACTTGTTCCCTCGAGTTCCTACCATTCCAGAAAAGGTCTGTTGGACAATGATTAGACGAAAAGCAGTTACCGTTGTGGTATAAATTACTACACTATGATGGGGGTCTGAGGGTGAAGTCGTACTGTTGCTAACTGGACTCGGTATGAGAGCAGTAAGGTGTTTCCGTTGGATGACCAGCATTGCCAAGCTGATGTTACCTTCTCAGGAGAAGGGGGGGGGGTTAGAAGAGGTCGGCCACAAAAATAACACACTTCACCCAAACCCCACAGTCTTCCGGGCTGGTGGTGTTGGTTCACTTGTCATTTCTTTTCGACCGTCTGGTCCCAAAAATACAAAAGTTGAGAATAATCATACACAAAAGGCGGCGAGTGACACGTCTCAAGTAGATGTCCGATGGGCTCTGCGGTCACACAAATCTCTTTCAGGCACTTTAAGAAGAGATAGCCTTCCATGGTGTGGGCAGCCGGGAAGTGTCAATCGCCCTCACAACTCTGTCAGCACTCAAGTTTCCTCAAACTGCTATCCACCTCCCCCATCATTACCTCTTAATCTTCCTTCACGCCTCTTAACTAACGATACTACATCATCTTCAATTTCTCCTACCTCTGCAGCCTTCGAAAATGATCTGATTCCACAGAACAGCATCTTTGGTCTCCTTAAACCAGGCTCCAAATTACACATCGGAGCCTTCAATGTCCGCACCCTCAGTCAACTTGGTCAACAGGCTTCGTTGGCAAATACTCTCTCTAGCAACACGGACCATGGATGTGTGCTGTGTTTGTGAGACACGCATACAGGACCGAAGTGCGGTTGCTCAGCTAACCTCTGCCGACCAATCTAGTGAACCCGCAAAATTGACCCTCTGAGTTTCAAGAGATTCGATGGCTAGCTCTCGCGGTCTTGCAGGTGTAGTTATAGTAGTAAGCACTATGGCAGAAAACTCAATACTAGACTGGATCCCAGTTGATAATCGCCTCTGCGCTATGCGGCTGAACGGCACGGTGAGAACTAAAAGGAATAGAGGTACTCGCCGTTGTCTCTGTGTGATCTCTGCTTACACACCCACTGATTGTAGTTTGGATGAAGTGAAGGACGAGTTCTACGGTAAACTGTCTAGCCTCCTCTCGAAAGCCAAACTTTCGGACGTGGTGGTTGTTGCAGGTGATTTCAACGCACAGGTGGGTAGACTGAGTGAGGCAGAAAGGCACTCAGGTGGCGCATTCGGAGTCCCGGCTGAACGTACAGATAACGGTGATTGCCTACTACAACTGTGCTCAGATAATCGCCTATTTTTAGCTAGCACAAATTTGAGACATAATGAAAGACACTGTCTAACGTGGCGTTTACCGAGCTCAACTCAGCGATGGACACAGATAGACCACATCGCTATTCGTCATCGCTGGGAGACTGCTGTTCCTTCTGGAGTGTGTGTTTGGAATGCTACCAAGCGTTGGTCCGAGTGCATATATACCTGCGTCTCAATGGACGTAGGAAAAATCTGGCTGAAAAAACCACCTATGTGTGCTGCTGGACAGCGAAAATACCAAAACAGTGTTCAGTGAGAAGTTGGAACAAAAGACTACCACTCATCCAGAAGAAGCTTGGTGCCATCTCCAGTCTGCGGTGAAAGCAGCGCTGAAGACCGTAGCCGACTCCGAAATAGTGGCTAAAAAGAGCCAGTGGATATTAGCAGCTTCTTCAGAACTAATGCAAGCACGTGAACGCATTCTTGCCTGCAGGCTCTGAGTACAATGAAGAGCGAGCGCAACTTAAAAGTAGGTTGAGAAAAGGTCTACGCAACGACCGCGAACAGTGATGGACAATGAAGGCCAAAGCGAAAGAAAAGACGGCGGCGATTGGTGACAGTAAACAGTTATTTAGACTTATTAAGGAGACTGAGGGGAAAAGGTCAACTGTGGTTAGTGAGGCTATAGCGGAGAAGGATGGATCTGCGATCCACTCGCAGAGGAGATGACTGGAACGATGAGCAGAACACTTCGAGGAGCAGTTTAACTGGCCTCCAGCCACCATTGGGTTGCCCTGTATCCAGTCGGATCCTGAATGGGACATAGAGAAAGGCCCCCCAACACCAGAAGTTGAGAAACTGGTAGGTAACCTGAACCGAGGAAGGTCAGCAGGACCAGATGGACTAACTCTTGAAGTATACAAGGATGGTGGTAAGGTGCTCTTAGTCAGGTTAACGGAAGTGTTAACCAGTATATGGGAATCAAATGCGATCTCCTCTGACTGGTCTAAATCGCTGATTATCCCAGTTTTCAAGAAAGGCGAGAAGTCCTCTTGTGATAACTACAGAGGAGTCAGCCTGATGAACATAGTGTCCAAGATCCTAGGTTCTATAATTCTCCGACGCCTGAGTAGAGCTCGGGAACAGCGAGCCCGAGAAAACCAAGCAGGCTTTAGACCCCACCGCGGGTGTATCGACCAAATATTCACACAGCGCCAGGTTTTGGAACACAGCCACGCTTACCGACGCCCGACAATAGCTGTATTTCTCGCCTTGAAGACGGTGGCATTCGATTCCGTTGGTCAAGAAGTCTTATGGCAATGTCTCTCACTGAAAGTCATGCCGAATAAGTACATCATCTTGTAGGAGTGTTAGAGCCTATGGTGAGATGTTCAAGGTGTTTTGCTCGTCGAGTGGTGTCCTTTAAGGGTGCCCACTATCTCCATTCTTATTCAGTTTCATCATAGATATTCTCATGGCTGTGAAGCATGACCATTGAAGGTGGAAGATGTGAGAAGGCTTCAAGTGCTTGACAACCTTTGTCTTCGTAGTATAGGCCGTATTCCGTGGTGTCACCACGTGAGTAACGCAGAAGTCAGGAGTAGAGGTGAATCAGTCGACGAGGTTATGAACTTTCATCGACTGAAATGGTTGGGACACGTATTACGTATGCCTAATCAGTTCACTTTTCATGTGATACTTGATTTGTCTTCCTTAGAAGTTGGTTTTGAGTTATTCAGAATCAGTAGTTTAGAAAATTTTGGTTTTTGACAACTTCATTTCGATGGGATATAGCAATCTAGTGGTGATTTACGTGGTATTCTTATCGCATGAGATCGTAGTTCGTTTTTTTACAAAAGTTGTTTCTTTTGTGGATAGTGAGTTCGACAAACCATTTCTTATAGGCAGTAAAGATATTCATTTGTCGTTGATGATTAGTCGTAAATGGCTGCATTCAAACTTTGAGGATAATACACTGCATTGTCTCTTTTCTGCGGAATAATTATTTTGCATTACTCAACCTGTTTTCAGCTAATTTAATCATTTTGCTGTCTGGTTCACTTCTTCAGATGATTACAGGAGTATCATTTATATCATTGATGTAGGTCATCATTTTAGTTGCTGGTAAGACGAATGATTACACTACACTACATTGTACATATCGCTGCCTTTCCATCAAACATATGAGTGGTCCTATCTTTATTGCTTTCATCTGTCTTCACATGTAGCCTCTAAGTCATAAATAGTTAGTTGAGCTCAATTGTGATCTACATCCCTCAGTATAATCTTGCTTCACTTTGTTAATTTCTACCTTTATAATTTATATTCTAAAAAGAGAATAAAACGTTTCATTCAAGTGTAATGTTTTCTGTCTTTCACAACTTTAGTAATGCACAGAAAAATAGGTCACTCTGATAGATTCAGAACGTTTATCTAACCAAAGATGATATGATACCGAGACTTACACTACGTAAGTCCATTCATTTGAACAATACTAGAAGAATTACTTATTAGATATGGGAAATTCCTTTTTGTATCTGAATTAGCCAGAGACAAAATAATTTTCTCATCAACTGTCCTTAGTTCTAAACACATTCATGTGGTAACTTATTAAATTTGACTAATTGGCACATAAAAGTAAAATAGATTAATATTTATATCACTCCAATTAAACATTTCATCGCCTTTAGATGTAGTCTATGTTTATATTATTTCCAGTGCGTTTGAAATAGGATAATTTCAAAGATTCAACCAGAAATCTGGTAAAATCTGCTACAGGGAAATAACCAGATAAGATCATACACAATGGGACATGAAATGGATATGCTAATTGTTCATATCAGTTTGTGAGGATGAACTGCTCACAATGAATTTCTACTGCATTGTTTGTGATGAATATAGATGAGTAATGGTCATAATGGTGATAGCAATAGAAATACATCGAATCGACTCACATTGTTTGGTTTTATTGTTGAAAGGGTTATTAAGATGATAGTGGTGATGAATAAAAATCTAAAAGTCTTCCACTCTGTGTGTTATTTAATAGCCACTTCTTGGCAGCATGCGTAACTCCGTGTCATCTGTTCAAAATATTTGGATTCACCCATATGTTTTAGGGTCTCAGCATTCAACAGTTTTCGATGCGACCTAAAAGAACTTTGTAGAACCATGATTCCATCAAGACTAGTTTTGTGTCTCTTTGTTACAAAAAACTACTTGTAAATCTTGATTTTTATCCTCGTTTATTGTAACTGCTACTCATATTTTTAGTTCAATATTGTTTTCTGACTGATCATGAATTTCGCTTGTTGCAATGCACTTACTTCGTATGTTATTTTTTGATTAACTTAGTTTGTTAACTGTGCCAGATTTGAAGAAGAGCAAAATCTCGTTGCGGTTCAGTACAGAGGAAAAATTTACTACAGAGCGTGCAAAGTAAGAGAAAAATGCAATTATGCCTCCTACCATCTAGGATATTTCAAAATCTGAAGAACTTTTAACATACTATGGAAAGGGGGTAAGCTCCCGTGTTTCGATTTTTGGGTGCTATTATATGAGGAAAGTAACATTTTTAAAATAATTTTCGTGACTACAATCTGAAGGATCTACCGTTGTTTTATGGGAAGCACAGTTCAACTGACCCAATGCAACGCTTCAGTTGCACAGCAACTAGCCACAACCTGAATACCACTAGATATCAGTTTCCTAACTCTTCTTGAATATTGAGAAAGCTGTTTCGAACCTGAAACGATGCAAAGCAGCAAAATGTGACTGTTTGCTACCTGAACTTTTCAAGGATAAAGATGGGAAATTTCTAAATTAAGTGACTGTGGTACTAGGTTGTATATGGGAATGAGAGGTAGTGCCATCTGACTGGTGTACTTCATTGATCACCTCGGTCTAGTGGAAGGCAAAGAAATCATCTTGTGACAACTATACGGGGAATTAGTTTAACTCATATTGTTTCGGAGATCCTAGTGTCTATAGTTATCTGACGCCTAACTGGAGCTCAAGAACAGGAAACTGGGAGAAACCCAGGTAAGTCAGAGACCTGAGCGAAGGTGTATCGATAATATCTTTACTCTCCGACAGGTTCTGCAACACAAGAATATCTACCCGCCAGTTTCCGACACTTGCCATATTCATTGACCAGAAGCAAGCATTCGTCTTTATCTGACCATGAAGGTGTTACTGATCAGTTTTATGAATCTAATCAAAGCTTTTTACTGGAACCCACGTGGCCGTATGAAGGCTTATGGAGAGTTGTCATCAGAATTGATGACAACTTGTGGGGTTCTGCAGAGATATCCACTGTCACCGTTCCTATTTAATTTCATCATAGGCGTACTGATGGACATAAATATGGATGCGTCTGACTTCAGAGGGACTTATCTACTCCCTGATGGTCATTTGATTGACTTTAGGTATGCAGAAGAAGTTGTTCACATAGGTGAAGGCGCTGACAAACTTCAGGGTCTTTTGAACGTGATGAGCAGAAATCCCAGTGTGTTTGCCTGGCACACATTTGGCACCTGTGAAATGTAAGATAATGCTTCAGAACTGGTCTGCGGCCAATCCTTATTTAAAAATAGTGAGTGAAGTGGTGGAATGTGTCGACCACTTGCTTGGTGAGTTGCATCAGCCCGAACGGACTGGTTGCTGATGAAATCTCAGACTGGACACAGAAGCCCCGTTTGGCATTTGCCAACTTGCGTCAACTTTTTGTTACTGACTGGTGAGATATTTGACTATATTCCAAAGGATGAATGTACTGCAATGGAGTTTGTTCTTTCCTGTTATACAACTGTAACCCATGGTCGTTTAAAGTTGAAGATATAAAGTGATTACAAGTCTTTGATCGCATGTATCTACGTAGCTTTGTTCAAGTTCGGTTAAATCACCGTACGAGTAAAGTTGATGTCAGGTAAAGCGTACTATGCAAGATAGGCAAGTCGATTGATGACGTTGTGAACATCCATCGGCTAAGATGGCTTGGACATGTAGTTGTTTATGCCAAGTCATCGCCTAGCTCAATGCGCAACACTAGGGTAAGCCGGATTAGGTTGAAAGAGGCTTCAGGGTTGCCAGTATAGGACGTGGCACCAGTGCATGAATTGCATGAAAGTGAGTCTGAGCCGTGTGGGGAGATGTAGACTGGCTGGTTTGGCTCCTTGAGACAATAGGAATAAGCGATTGAAGACTATTGGTGGCATTGCTAGAATATTTTCCCTAACCATAATTTTCAGATTGGTTATTCTCTCAAAATATTTTGTCTTCTTTTATATCAGTCTTCTTCTATCCACTTTTTCTTTGTATGTTACTGTGGAGTCTTGTTTGTATTGTGTTCTCTGAGCTGGGTTGTTTAATCGTGAAGCTTTCATTGCCTTGCTAGACTTCAAACTGAAGTTAGTGCTGATTAGCTACAAATATTCTCCATTATTTCAAGATCATACGACCGTGCTACTGTGGAGTGTTTCAAATCTATTTCAAACACTCAGTATGTAATAAGTGCATAGGAATTCATTCAGTGCCTTATGCAGGTTGTATAAGAACTGTGCTACTGAGTATGAACTCCTAGTTATCACTTCATTTCGGTTGTAGTTGAAGAAACGCTAAATCCTTCTTTTCTAGATCTAAGCATAGACCGTGATTACGTCCAAAAGTTATCTTCCTGGTCTTCCATTTTGCCATGTGTTTGTGAAATGTGAGAAACTTAAGTGGTATCCTGTTTGATGTTTGTATAACTGAGTGTGACAACTTCAAGCAACATTTGGTCACATGAAAAAACCAGAGGCGGTTGCACTGAAGACTATTGTCTTTCCGAACCAATCCTTTTAGTGGTTGAACACCCGCAGATTTATATTTCATGGGATAGAAAGTTCTGTATGAATGCCTGTTTAAATCTTAGTGTTCATCGAGCACTGAAAATGAATTTATAAAGAGAGCGTGGGCATACTGTACATCAAATCCATGAAGAGTTTGTGCATTGTGAAATTAATCAGTTTATTATGAATAAATATATCACGAATGTTTACACACACTGATAAGACACTCAGTAAAATTACGCCGGGTGATCACATAAATAGTTGGAATTTCAGTGCAATATTTTATTTTATTTATAATAAAGAGAATAGTGTAGGGAACGGCTTGGAAAATTTGCAAAGGTTCCCGAAAGAAAGAACGACCACTAAGCAAGTAGATCTTTCTGGCACAGAAACCAAGAACATCAGACGAAAACATCAAAAAATAGAAGTACGAAGTAACTGTCAAATGTCACTGTTAGGAAAGTAATTCCTAGTATTTTTTGAAGTGTTTCTTAACTTATTCAGTTATGTACTGACTTATGTGTGCATGGTGACGTGCATTCTTTATCACTAGCTTAGATACTATAGTTTTCGGAATACACTTCCTTTTCTAAACTTGCAGGCAGCAAAAGCAACAGTTAGAACATGATAACATGAATTTATTTTATCAGTTCCTTTTTATATGCTCACAACGCGGAATATCAAATGTTTTATAGAATAAATTGAAGTTTGTATAATTTTATATCTTCCTATTTCAACGGGAATTCAAAATACAATGAATCCATATTTTTCAGTTATTCCCTTCACTTTCAGCTCATGAATAGGCTAAATACCAATTAAAATTTCATTGTCAACATCTTTTATATCATGGTAAGAAGAATTCAAAAATCCAATAGATTTCATCAATAGTACTATCCTGTGCTACATCAGCACTTTAGATGTATTCTTCTCCACTGTTTCAAATTTGACTACATTCGTCGAAATGCAATCGACATCGATAAACTAACAAAATATCTGAAGAAACTACTCTCGAGATGTACCTTTGGTGTTAAATTCAGCTTTAATAACACCTACCACCAAAAAGACGGAGTAGTAGTTTCATCTACGTTAAGTCCATAACTAACAGATATCTTTATTCCCAAACCAGAAGTAACTATACTCAACTCATTTCCCGAACTGGCTAAATTCTGCAGAATTTTGACTTGCAGGAAATATTGTACTCTTCCAGTGGAAACTAATCCTCAGTCTGTACACTAGAAATGATGTCGTTTCTCGATGTATTGTTAACAGGGTGAGATGACCAAACACTTGAAAAAATCCTTTTAGCGGATATCTACTTGGAATGAGTAACTGGTCAACCTTTACATCACCTGGTGGATCTGTACTCCTTACCCTTTAGAAGACGAAACTCAGATTTCAAGATAGATGTTCACCCGAAATAGATATCCAAATAGATTAGTAAATAAAAGTTTGCATAAAAATGTTACCCGTCAGTTATTTGTCAAAGTGTAGAAGTTAAATCAACCTTTAAATTTCATATAAATGTAGTACATGTGGTACAAAAATCTTGACTAATGAAAACTTTTAGACGAATATTCAATACGACTACTGTGTAAATCAGCTATAGTAGTCGCTTATGTTGAGAACGTGTATGAAAGATAAACTGTTATCGCTAGCCACTTGCATGTGCATATGTCAACTACTTCTCTGGAGGTCATACAAAGCGATAGATCGTCCATCGTCGAAACCAACATATTCCAAGATGGATCAGTAAAGGCTGGTGCAAATCTATCAGTGGCCTCATTTTGCAGTATTTGGTTGACAGCAGGCACATAGTCTTAGGAGATTCGTTTTCACTGGTCTACAAAATACAACATGATTTTCAGAAAGATGTCAGGAAGCGGTTACTAAGCCTTACAGAAGCTTTGACAATACAGAAGTTTAAAGTAGGACTGTGCATCCAGAAACTTTTTCATTCACTGTCCTCATTCACTCCTTAGTTCGTAAACCTATCAGTTCCCAAATTTAAGGGATGTTTATTTTTATCCTGTTATTAAGTTAAAATTTCTTTCTGAGTAGCTTGTTTCTCATTTCCTTGATCAATGGAAATTGTCAACTCCCTTTATTACATATTCCTCAATCTCTGGCTTGAATTTGCACTTACTTGCACTTCACGCTGCCGAATATCACATTTCTTACATGCATTCAATTCCCATATTGTTTTCCTGAACGCAACCTACTCAGAATTACTGTTTGACAAATATTGACATCTTTACCATTAAATGTGCTTACTAATTATACTGAGATACGATTTTATAGCTTCTGAGTAGAATATTGTAGAAAACAAATTTGTTCCCTAATTTTTTTCTTTTATTTAACATTCGGGGTAAATATTTATTTATTTGGTTAGAAATTCGAAAAAAAATCTGTGTAATGCGTTGTGAATTTCTTTATTTTATAAGTAGTTTTTCCGAACAATACAGTTTATAATATTCTTAATTTGATGTAATTAACAATGGTCTTGATTTTTGTCAATTCATTACACAAACTTTATACTTCTATTTGGAAATTTCATTTTCAGTTTGCTTCTGAACTGAAAAGTGATATTCACCTTATACCACAGATATATTCTGTATCAAAAGGTAATGAAAAAAGTGTTGCTTCATATTATTTGAGTTCAGTTATAGAAAGTTTACTTGGAAAAAAGTGTTGAGTTTGAACTTTTATTTAGTTCTTTTAATATGGATTCTGCAAACATATGTTGTGTATGAATGCTTTTGCTTGTGTTATCCTGTAGTTGGATGGACCGAATTGATCTGTCTCTATTGTCATAAGGGCTCCCACCCAGATTCCTCGATATTGCCTGTGATCGAATTATAATTAATGATGGATAGTCGCCAGCAGTGGAATCCATAACGTGCGTTTCGTCCTGTGTAGGAGTCATCAGCTGTATGTGCCTATGAGCAATGTTGTCCCTTCCAGGAGTCGAACTCGGGGCCGACCCCTTCAAACCTCAGAGTGTTACCCATTAGACCACTGCGTCACGATAGCCACTTCTTTTGCGACGGCTTAAGCTTTAATGTTGTTACTTGTGTTACCTCTTTGTTGAGTTGAAGGTCTTAAGTTCGAGTCCCGGTGGAAGAAACATCGCTCATTGGAAGGCAGGTATATCCAGCTGATGAGTCCCAAAAAGGACGAGGCGCGCGTTCTGGATTCCTTTCCTAGCCACTACCCATCAATAATGATAATAATTCACGTTTTTCCAAACAATTTGCGGTACAATCTGTAATTCTCAGCGTGATATGTTGCAACGACAACTATATATACATCCCGAATTGTGTTCTTATAAAGATTTAAGTAATGTAAATAATATTAAAATGAGATCGTTTTGCACTAATTAAATTGTTGAAGTTAGACGATTAACCGTTACAAAGTTGATGTATGAGTTCTGATCTAACACTTTTCTCTTCATATAATATGCGTGCTAAGTACAGTCGAATTCTTGTACTTGGATGTAGGAACATCTAGTCTTATGTAGTTTCTTATCCATCCTGAGGATATACAAGGGAGGGGGGAGCTGTGAGTAAAGTAGGTGTTCAGTATCAGTTAAAATTACTGTAACTAGTTGCTTGCTAGAATTTAAATGTCTATCAACGACAGTGTCAATCAGTTGTGCCAGGGGCACACCACTCGCCTTGCTGGCGGCCTTAAAAGCCCTACGCAACACAACATAGTCCTTTTTTAGAAGACCAGGATAGATCAACGGGGAGCAATAGAATAAAATAGGTAAAATGCAGGAATTAATAAATTGTAAAAGTAGAGGTTGGGTTGTACCAGAGTGCCTCAGTTTCTTTATGTAATACGTTAAACGAAAGATTTTCTTGAAAGTCAACAAGATATGAGGCGATCAACAAAGATCAGAAGTAAAACTCAGTCCAAGATAACACTCCATTTACTTTCTGCAGAAACACTCAATGCAACAGGCGTCATGAGATTTAACCAGCCCACACAAGTGTTTATGCCTGATGCTAAAATTAACAGTGAAATTTAGAAGGGTTTAACTTGTGATCATTTGACAGAGACCATTGGTCGTTAAGAGACAAGAATCTATTTAATTCAGAGCAATCTAAGGGAGATTTAACTGGAATAGACACCATCAACATACTTAATAAAATTAGTTTCAACAGAATAAGGTAAATCTTCCAAAAGAACGAAAAGGAAAAAGTACAGCACCTTGAGACACACCAACTTCAGTAGGTAGTGAAGTCGAGTGCTCCTCTTCATAGACAGTATATTGTTTATTTTTAGATAAATAAGAATACAGCTACTTTGTAACCCATGGCTCATATTGAGCTGAAGTACTTCTCCTGTGTTCGTGAGCAAATTGTTTTAGATCCCTGAGAACTATTAATAAAGGCTCAATCACAAGAAGAAGTAATTTTTTCATCGTTTTGAAAAAAGGGAAGTTAGCGATGGGTCGAAACTTAATATCTGATCCAGAAGATGACTTACGGATAGGTACAGTTTTGATCTTCCAAGCAGCGGGTATTATGTTTTTAGAAAACGATGGATTGAAGATGTCTGAAGGGGAGGACATAAAATATCTGTACACTTTCTAAATATAATACTGGAAACACCATCAGGACCTAAGCTTTGGGATGAATTCAAGCGTATATCTTGTGTATCAAAACCAGGGAAGTAGCTGTCCATTTGACTTTGAACATTAGGAAGGATGAAATTGGCTTGCCGACGTATGAATGACTTGTTCAACGCGCAGAAATCCGAATAGGTTTCTTTTGTCATCTGTTTTATACCAGTAAGCTCTTTAAATAATTTTCATTTATTTGAAGAGCTCTTACACGATAGAAATTTTTGGTTGTAAATAGTATTCAGATGTCATATTTCAGACTTGATTAGGCAGTTGTCTTTTAACACCGGGTGATCTCTCGTCTTATCCAACCTCTCCTTTTCTCTCCGGAGCCTCTCGAGATGAGGAGAAAAAAGTCCATCAAATCTTATGTAGATTGTTTCAGCTGGGCAGGGAATATCGAGACAGAATCTGAGATAGCTGGTGATATAAGTAGTAATAGTGTTGTCTGAAACTTCATATCCCAGTATCCTTCTTCAAGCAAGCTTCTCAAACGTTGTATATTCTCTTGTGAATAGCATCTGTGCTGGACTTTCTTGGAAAGGTACCCGAAAGCCTTGTGTAATTTGCCGTACATTAGGCAAAACACGTAGGATACAGTGGTCAGAATTTAGCAGCGGAGCCCGTTTACAGCCTTCATCTACACCAGGTTCGTTCGTAAATACCAAGTTTAGGGTGTTTTCAAGACTAGTAGAAACGTTAACCATATTTTCATGACCCAATGATACTAGAAAATTACAGTCACGTGAGTTAAAGTCCCCACAGACCATAGAACAGGAGTTGCCGAAAATCGGAGCGATGAATTCATCAGCGAAAGTTGAGGAACTGCAGTCAGGTGTGACATAAGCCTTTGTTGTGTATATATGTTTGTATTTACTTTTTTAGGACTACATTTAGTGGTAGTTCACTCAATTTTTTCCTCAGAGAAGCTAAAGCATGAGTAGTAGTAGGAAGACCAATTTGTATTGATAGATGTTGCTACACACCCACCACATTTCTTCTTGGAAAAGCTTCGATCTTGTCGAAATAATTTGAAACCATTTAAGCAGACTAAATCATCATCATGCAGGTTATGAAGCCATCTCTCCTGCAGCATTATGACACCCGTATTCCGTTAAATATTTTTGGATAGGAGTGATTGAAGGTAATCAACTTTCCTCGGTAACGACCTGGAGTTTGTACTAAGTATTTCCGGAATAGTCATTTGATCTATGGTAATAAGCTTAAGAACCCGCTGCCATCCACCATAGTGCTTCTTCTTAATTTGCCTATCACCTTGTAAAATGATTCATTATAATGATTTTAAAAACGCGTGAGAGTTTATAATACGATTAGTTGACATAATTGAACGATTAAAACAATACAGAAGGGAGAAATCTGATACAATATATTCTGTGATAAAATGAGGTATCCCAACGATCAAGCAGACCACTCAGTAATATATACTGTGAATGGTTAAAAAATCATGACTTGCTACTTTCTACATGTACAGGCGCAGGTTTAGGCATCATTTAGAGAAAAGTTACAATGTTCTCCTGACTCCCCAAAGATGATTCGGTTAAAACAAAATTCTCACCACAAAAATTGAAATATGGGAATCAAAGAGAGAAGTTTTGATCTAAGCACTTGACTTTCAGCTGTTAGGTCACAAGCTTAAGCCTTATTCCATCCACCGAAGTATAAGTAGGCAAGTAGTTTGGTACAGTAATCCGAAAAATGACTGATGGTTCTGTCAAAGGGATAAATTCAGTATGAAACAACAGTATAGCAGACTTGTATTTATTGACATTAGGTTGGTATTTTTCGTGTACTGACATCATTTGGAGACCCGAACGCACGGGACAGCTGTTTAGTTCTAGTGTGGGACTCCTTGGCAGTGGGCACTCATGACTCTCCCAGGAATCGAACTCAGGACCTTGAGGTCCCACGACCAGCGCGTTACCATCGAGCCGCTTGGTCGTTGAGTAACTGTCCCTATGTTCGGAATGGTTGACCCGACCGGTCACGGCTTCTCACTGGAATTTCAGGAATCGCCTATTGAAGCCCGTCACCAACGAACACTTATGTTTTGCGAAGCTGTTATTTGCTTCAAATGCTATGTATACTCTCATATAACAAGCTTACTGGTCATCTTTGGACGTTGGGAGCTTATTGTAAGTGAAGAACTCATAATAGAAGGGAATGTTCGTACTGCAATATGAATATACTAGTAAACAAAAATGAGCGGCTTTGCTTCACAAATGTTGATGTATGTTTCGATCTGTCAATTGGAAGCATTTATTTATGTATAGAGAATACAAAGTGTATACATTTGCTAGAAGTAAGAAGTTTAGAGTTAGAAATAAGTGAATATCTATTCGTGGTCCTCGCTTTTCGGCGGAAGGAGTGCACAAAGCTAAACTAAGAGTTGTAAGCAACTCTCACCGACTGATCTAAATTATTTCAAATCCTCAATACAGTAGTGTAGGGTCTTTGATTCAGTGCCACTGAAGCAAATTATGACATCTCTTCACAAAACAGCGTTGACTAACTTGTCTCGCGTTAATTGCATATTGATGTAATAACTGTCTCACAACAGATATATCGCACTACTGAGCGAAGATGAATGCCTAAGTACTCTTTTTAAGCTTAGCTAATGACAAGAACTCTCAGACTTAGCTTAGTATCATGTTTTCATCATATTGCTTAATGCTCGATCTACAGAACAATCTCATATTGAAAATGTATGAATAGCATGCCAAATATAATCAGATTTCCACTGAATACATCTGGAAGACGTTTCGCTTTATCAGTTGTTGGGAGGCAATCTACAGACCTCCCTGAACTTAGGTCTCGTACTTCCCAACACTCATCGGTAGGGCGTATCCGCAACCCCAGGCGAACAGATGTCCTCTTCGAGGTCCGATCTGCGTCACTCTCCAGCCGACTAACATTCATCAAAGTGTACTGCAACGGTAAGCCTCCTGACTTGGCCACAGTCCGAAATGATTTATAGGATTTGGTCAGTACTCAGGACTAGACAACATGAAATTGGTTGTTTACCATTCATCAGACAATATGTTTCG